GCCTGATCACGTAGCAAAAAGGTAAATTCATTTGAATAGCATTTGGTATTGCCTCTGGTTACCTACATAGGTACTCAGTGGCTATGATAATACAACTATGAGTGTAGGACAGCATAGTAATTATTAGGGTGAATACCCTTTCCTATGAGAAATCTTGGACTGAAGTATATTTCCTAAAGTACTACTTTACAACATGTGGTAATGAAGTGCACAGCACAAATTGCCACTTTGTCAAGTGTGTTATTTCCAAGTATTTCTTCCTGTACAAAATGGTCAATCAATAAGTCCAGTCAAAATGTCAGTTTATTTTCAAGATTATCTTTGTGAACATCAGTTACTCTACAGTCAACTCTAGAGTACAAAATACAGCATATTGTTTGCAGTGTGAAACTAGAAAAGCATAGAAACTTCAGAAAAGCATAAACTTCAAACAAAAGACAGAAGGCTTTAAAACAGAATTTTTATAAAGCAAGGGTGAACCTCCTTACCCTTGTGAGCATCACCACACATGTACAAAACAATTTTAGAAATCAAACTTTGAGTTTGACAAGCAGCTTGGTTTTTTTATTCCATGAAGATTGATCTCAACATGTTGCAGAATTGTTTTTCACGTGTCAGTGCAAGCATGTGCCCAAATCTTCCTATGATTAACATCAATATGTGTAAAGAGTTATTTAATGCAAATAAAAATCTAAATCTGGATAATGGGGTCTCCTGCATCTATTAAAACACCAGACACCAGCTGGAGCATCACTGACACCAAAATCTATCTAAAGGGATTCCTAAATAGCTTTATGTATTGTTTGTAGTCACACTGAGAGGGATTATATGGGACCTATTTCCCTCAGTGCACAGATGTGAACATCAAACAGCCTCATCTGCTGGATGGCCTACTCTAGCTACAGATGTAAGGAATGTACATTTTACATGTCATATTTCAGGAATATAAAACAGCTCTATTTTGCTTTCCCTGTGAGCAACTGAACACATCAGAAGTCTCTATTTTCAGTTATCTGTGCAGAGCTATTTCTTTCAAACAGATGAAATACACAGTAATGTAAAAATTGCACTGACCTCTTCCAATCACAATGTGCAGTTCTGGCCTGGTACCTGCTCAGAAAATTGAGTTGGCTAAATCTTTTTAGAAGGTTTTAGAAGCCCACACTACTTATTATAAAATTAAGCTGTATGTTATGAGGGTATGCCATTACTTTTCAAATCTTTCTCCTTTATAATAGAGTGTCTGATTGGTTCTGAACAGAATGAAACTCTGTCTGGCTTTATTAGTTCAGGGTCAGATGCTTCTGTCAGTAATGAAACCTTGCTTAAATCCTTGTTTCAGTGTCCCTTTAAAAGCCATCAAAGAAGGGGGCAGGAGGGGAGAGGGGAAATTATCTGTCTGCATAGCTCACTGTCAAGCAAAATGCAGGCCCCTGCTCCATTTATCAGCACACATTTTCCAAAATGTGCAATATTATGAATTTACACCTAATTTTGTATGCTTAGGGCACACCTGTCACCTGGTATGTTCAAGGAAACTGGTCAAGAATCAAGTTCATTATTTTCATGTGCTGATAGACAAAGTGGTGCAACCAGAACTGAACAGGAGGTATGCAGCTTATAACAAAGAACAGTGAGTATATTTGCCTATCTAAACCAGTTTTTTCCCACTATCCTGGATAAGGAACAAATAGTGGTTATTTGACTACGATTCCCTAGATATGTTTCTACAGGAACAAAAGCAGCATTCACCCATATGGACCTATAGAAGTTAATTTTTATATAACTATCTGCTTTTCCACTGAGTTCTTGAAATCTGTAGAAATATGGCCAGCAGCAAGATATTCTACTTTCTCTCTGCAATGCTTGCTCTCATCACTAGTGACTTTCTTTTGTAATTTACAAAGTTTTTATGCAAGCTACTTCTGGAGTATAGTAATGAACAAATGGGTGTAGGTTACAGCACCAGATACTTGCCTCTACAAGACTAGACAGCTAATAGACATTTGTTAGAAGAAATGTTACCTTGAAAACCTAACTGTACTGTTGCTTATATAAAGCAAATTTTCATATCTAGACAAATTTCTTTCATTTTTTCAGAGAGACCAGGAAGAATTGAGGGGCGAAAACTGGTTCAAAGGAGTGGCACGCTTTTTTTCCTGAAGATGTGGGTGTTGAGAGATGTGCTGTGTTTAGACTCACACTTGATAGTGAGAGAGCTGCAAATATGTCCTAGATGCAAAACAAAAACTGAAGCCTCCCAAGAAAAAAAAAAAAAAAAAAAAAAGAAAAAAAGGAAATCACATTGCACTGGGAGCAATCATGCTCCCTGAGAAGGGAACACAGGCTGTCCTGTTGTTGTGATTTCTTTTCTGTGAAATATCCTATGCTGTTAAATGTAACTTTCTGACTGTAAGACTGAGTAACTGGGTGTCTTTTTTGTAGGTTTTTTTTCCACCACAGGCCTCATAATTTAATCCTAAATTGAATAAAATATTATTCATAGTCAAATACGATCTGTATTTAATACCTGCTCAATTCTAAAATCCACTTAAAAAAAATACAGAAAGTGCTGTGATACTGTGTAGCAATGTGCTATTTTCAAAGTGCTGTTTATTCTAGCAGCTGAACAGCTCTACTAACACTCAGTAGTGGAAATTTTAAAAACTCCATAAAACTCTGAGCATGCTCCCTGTAACCCTGCTCCAATAGGGCTCAACATGCCACAGGCATTCTGTGAGCAGCAGAAATTATGAGTCATGTTTGCAACATCCTTTGCCCAAGCAGATTCCTGGAATCTAGCAGGATAGGAATTCCTACAGTAGCTTTCCTTTCTGTGGGAACATTAGAATCTCTGTCTTCTACATAACCACTTATTTTCTATGCTGTTAATGTCTCTGAGATTTGGCTGAAGCTGGACAAGGATTTAAAAAGTAACTAGTGGTGGCAAAGCAGATAGCATATCCACACCGATTTTCTTTCTGCAGGGAATTGAACTAGAAAGTGCTCATGATTGATCTGCTTTGGAGTATCTACCACTGCCAGCAGAGACTGCAGCTTATAATTCACAAGTGGGGATGACATAGCTTGGGACGGCAGATTATCGACCCCAGCTGTCTGCCCAACACCCAGCACACAAAAGACTCTTCATGATACAGCTGTGGAATCACTGCCTCCCGCTGAAATGGGCAAACAGTTTACACCAGCATGCTCTAAATGGGGTTCAGAGTATTCACAGAGTGTCTCAGCTATCCAGAAAAGTGGTGTTGGAAGGATGAGTTAGGGCTTGTACCCTCCTGTGCCACCCCCAGCCATGGCACCTCTTCTTGCAGACCCAGCTGTGAGCTGCAGCGATGCCAGAATGTGATGCCACAGGCAGTTGTAAGAGTCATGGCGAAAGGAGGTGGAACAGGAGGCCTTTCACATCTGAGAAGGAGCATCAAAGATGCCATGAGTGTAAATATAATGCTTCATAATGCTTTGTATTTTAATTAAGGTTTGGATCAGTTTTATGGTATTAATTATAACATAGCTTGGATACTGTGCCACTGTGACATAGGAAGGAATGTAGATGGAATCCCTACTGAGAGATTATAATGGAGAGTCCTGATGCACTGCTTCATGGTGACACAGTCTATTTTGGAGCAGACAAAAATCCATAAACCAGCAGTTTTCCTCAGATGACCGACTGTAGGAATCATGTTTATATAAATTCAATGTATGTGACATTCAGTATCAAACAAGGCACAAAACAGTTTTATGTCTCTGAATGTTTTGTTATGATCAAACTGAGCCTGCTATCCACACAGGTATTATTCACTGGGATAAAATTTAGAGCTTAGTTAAACCTCGTGTAAAAAAACCCGTGACTTTGAGTGAGTGACTGAGGTATACTGGATTTTCCTGTATCACCTGTGAACCAAAGATGTCAGAGATTTTTGTCCTTCTAGTCCTGCTTCCCGATATGTCCATATGTCTCCTGGTACATCCAGGTTCTCGGAGGACACAGACTCGCAGCCAACCGTCAGGGTCGGAAGTTGCCGATCCGTAGAGCTCCCAAGGGGGGCACGCGGCCCTTTCCCCCACTGTCCCGCCGAGCCGCGGCCCAGCCGGGCGGCCGGGAGCCGCCCCAGGCGCCGAGGTCGGGCATCCGGGCGTTTGCTGGAGCCGCAGTGCCGGAGAACCGAGCGGCGGCGGCGCAGCAGGAGGGCACAGGAGGGCACCGCCGCTCCGCCACCGGGCCCTGCCCGCCCCGCCGGGCCGCTCCTCTCCTTCACCTGCCGGGACTCGGGCGGAGCGCGGACTCGGGGGCCGCCGCCGGCCGTCCCCAGGCACGGCCGCTCGCCTTCCGCCAGCGGCGGTCTGGCTCTGCTCTGCTGCCCGGGCGGGCGGGCGCCCCGCGGGACGCGCCTGCGGGCGAGGGCACAGCGAGCTCCCCTCGTGTGTGTGTGTGTAGGCTGCGTCCCGCCGGCGGCCCCGTCGCGGGCACTGTCCCTCCTGCCGAGGCGAGCGCGGCCGGAGGCCACGCGGGCCTCACCTGGCGCTGTCCCGCACCTTGCGGGAGGAGCGGCGCGGGAGGCGGGGCGAGCCGCCGGGCCTGGCCCGTTGCGCCGCCGCCGGGGGCCGGTCTCCCGCTGGGCGCGGGGGGGGAGCTGAGGCGGCGGCCCCCGCCCGCCGTAACCGCTCCCCATCCCGCCCGCTGGTGCCGCCCCCAGCATGGCGACACGGTAGAGGAGCGGCTGCGCCGGGGCGACCGCCTCCTCCCGCCTCCTCGGCACGGGCACGGCGCGCCGCGGGTGAGCGAGCGGCCTCGGCGGCGCTGCTGCCGCCGGTGCCCCGCACAGGGCTCAGCGGCGGCGGACGAGGAGGAGGATGGCTGTGGTGGTCGCGGCGGCGGCGGGCACAGCAGTAGCGGCGGCGGGACCGAGCGGCCGCGCGCCGGGAGCCAGCACCGTCCCGAGCAGCTCATGGTGGCGCCCCAGACCCGCCAGCAGCGGCCGCGCTGGGGCCGCCAGCTGAGCCGGATCCCGGCGGGCGGCTCTCCCCTCTCCACACCGACCCACCGAGCGACCCGTCCCCCACCCCCGACGCTCCCTCTCCCCCCTCCCCGGCGCGACCCGCGCCTCGGATCGCCCCCGCCGGGGCCGGACTGCCACCACCCCCGGGCGCCGCGGGGAAGGCGGCGGCGGCGAAGGGCACCGGGCAGCGCCAGGCGGCGGCGGGACCATGGGCGCGAAGCAGAGCAGCCCCACCGCCGCCAATGGCCGCACCCGGGCGTACTCGGGCGGGGATCTGCCTTCCTCGAGCAGCAGCAGCAGCGGCGGCGCTAACGGGACCGGCGGGCGCTCGGCAGGCGGCGGCGGGCGCTACGCGCACCTGGCGGCGGCGCCTCACGCCGCTCCCGGCGGTGCGGCGGCCGCGGCGGCCGGAGGAGCGGCGGCGGCGGGGAGTGCCGCGGGGTCGGCACCCCGGAGCAGGTCCTTAGGGGGGGCCACGGCCTCCGGGGCCCGGGCGGCGCAGTCCGCCTTCAACATCCCCCACAGCAGCGGCCCCTACGGCTCGCAGGACTCGGTCAGCAGCACCCCGGAGGAGGGCGGCCGGGAGCGGCCCGCGGGGGGCGGCGGCGGCGGCGGCTCCTCCGGCGGGCCCCGGCTGGTGATCGGCTCGCTGCCCGCGCACCTCTCGCCGCACCTGTTCGGAGGTAAGGGGCACTGCCGGGGCGGGAGGGTTTGGCTGCCCGTCCCGGCGCTGCGGGGCCGGGGTTGCGGGCGGTGGGATGGGGTGCGGAGGGTCTTTCCCCGGCTCCGAGGTGGGACGCATAGTGAATCATCACTCCAAGCTGGCGTCCGGGTTTGGAGACGGGCTCTCGGGCCGGCGTCTCCTATTGTGTGTAAGGAGAGCTGTGAACGGGGAGGTTAAAAATGAAACGAGCCCGGCGGCGGGGAGGAAGCGGAGCCTCTCCGGCCGGCGACTTTAGACTCTAATAGCTGTAATCAGTGCCTGTGTAAATACTCTTGCCTACTACTTACATAATTAGAATTTAATTGGATCATGTGTCTCCGCCGTTTATTCTAAAATCGGACCAAACCCCTCTTTCGGCACTGATTAATGTGTGGCTGATGCTTGTTCCTCTTTCTAAGTTCTCTGTTCAGAAAGTCGGTACAGAAAAACAGAAGTTAAAGTTTCTTTGTTGGTGCACCCTCTAAGAGGTGAGCAGACCCGGCTTGCTGTCCGTGCCGCTGGAGTACAGGCTTGCAGCGCCGGCACCCTGTAGTCTTGAGGATGGGCACATGTGCTCCTGAGGCAGGAGGAACACTCGGCTAGACTCTAAAATAACCAGGGAGCTGAGGCCCTTGGAGAAGCACAGTGTACGTGGAGCACGTTGCAGGTTTTTTTGTCTGTCTTGCGCTACCGAGATTAATTGGGCTGTATAGGATGAAGGTTTTACTGCCTGTATTTTTTACCTTGAAGTTGGAAATCATCTTGTTCGTTGCCAGCTGCCTTCAGAGTTGCTGGCTCCTTTAAGTAGTGCTCATTCTAAAGGCTGTTCATATAGGTCAAACAATGAGCAAATTTGTTTATTGGATGTATTCCTCAACTGACGTTTTTAATACACACATATATATTTTTATATATATATATATATATAAATATATATGTACCTATAAACTTAATACCCCAAAGTTTTTTTTTAGGGGATAAAAGAAGAGACTAATGTAAAATTTCTACGTTTCTTTATTCTTATTAATCCATTTGTGAATACCATTTGTTGCAGGTTGGCTTTCTCGTTTTCTGTAATTCACCCAGCTTTTAGCCAAAGCAGAGCTGTGTGCAGCCTGACCCTCGCAGGGTACACGAGGTTTCTGTCACATGGCCTGCCGCTTCTGGCTTGGTGACCTCAAGTCAGCATGGCTGTTAGTTCCTATATCTAAAACTGCCTTGTCCCAGCAGTTAAACATTAACAGAAAGCTGTCAAACCCTATTATAATAAAATAATATTTTTCTCTAAGAAAGAAAACATAACTATTCTCCTAGTACCGAGCTGGTGGACAGGAGTGCTTTGTTGCAAGGATGCTCATTACACCACCAAAGTACCTTGAGGGGGAAGAAGGTGCATGTGTTTCTTGTAGTGATGAAAGGATGTGCTGTCATGGAGTATTGTACAGCTTGTGCTAAGCATAAGGGAATCGTTAGAATGTGTAGCCAGTTGTTGCTCAAAGGTGAAACTTTTTTTTCCTCCTCAGTGCTTTGACACTGTACTGCAACTTGCTTTGGTGCCAGGAGGGAGTGGATTAAATGTAAACGAAGTGATGAGGCTGTATTCAGATGCAGGAAGGTCTCTTCAGAATAACTCTGAATTTGATCTTACTTTTCTACGGCATGTACTCATTTTTTAATTGCTGTACTACACTGTATTTTTGTCCTTGGAGTGATGCAAAGCTTGTTGCTTTTACCAGTGCAGGAGGAGTGCCCGGAGGGGTACACTGTCTTCATCTACTCACTAATGAATAAGGACTGCCATATGTTAGGAGTATAACTGGCAAGTTTCAAGATACAGTAAGATTTTTAGTGAAGAAACAAATAGATTCATGACTATCTTGTGACCACATAAAGACAGTGTGTCTTAGTGGGATGAATACTTGCTTAATCATAATACTGCAACACCTGTGAAGAAGGCCTCACTTGAAGCATTATTCTTTCTTTCAATTTAAATATTTTGTGATGTTGATGATACATTACTCCACATCCCACTCAGTGTTGCCATCTTTTTCTAGTTGCGTGCTTTGTGTTTTCTTGATTCCTTGTAATAACTACATGGTTGGAAAAAGTAGCCCAACTGGAGATCATACATTAATAGCATCAGCATTCTGAAAAATAACTTGAAGCATTGTTTTTGTCCTGATGGTAACTAGCTCAAGCTTGTCTAGGTGTGGTATCTGGCATTTATCTTGTGTATCTTGAGCATGCTTGAAGTCCCCTCCCTTGTTTTGTAACTTGCAAATTAGCTGAATTACTTCTTTTTATCCTGAAATCTGCCAAAATTAATTGTGAGGATTAGCATAGCAATTCTGTGAAAATTAAAATAAAACAAGAAGAACAATAATACCTTCTGTAAGTTGAACCGAATCTCCAGCTATTTATGTTTTTAGGAATACTGCTTTGCTTCGTCAGTCAGTGCCACGTGGGTGTTGCATTTGTTAAATTACTGTAATTAATTTGCCATTAGTGAATTACACTCTATTGTCACTTTTACTGAGCTGTTTTGCATGCTGAAGTAATGTATAAATATTAACCCTCTGATGTAACATGCTTAAATCTATACTAAGCTTCTTACTACACCACTTGAATGAGAATATAAAAGTTACGTTAATGTATTGGCGAGTATGTTCAGTTATTGCCTGTGTTCCTTCAGTAGCAGCTGCAGTAGTAACAGCCTTTCCTGGCTGTGAAGGTCTCGTGTTCCCATCTGACCTCAGGCTAAGGCACTTTTGTGAACAACATACAGTGGAGTAAATGCTGCTGTGTAGCTTGGTCTTGTCTCAGGGGGAGTTCAGCTCACTCAATAATCAGTGCCTTGGTCTCACAAAAGTACATATATATATATGTATGTGTGTTTGACTTTGTGCTGTGAGCATGAAGTAGGCTTAGGGCGTTAAGTAGAGTGAGACCCAAATTCCGTAAGATCTTAGGCACTCCCAGAGAGGCCAAACCTGTGCGTGACATTCAAGAGCTTTCTTGCGACACAGTGCCAAGTTCCAGCTTCCTTTAAGGTGATAACACTTATCGGGAATTTTGACCAGTAGTTTCCCTGCTCTGTTCCTCAGTGAATGGGACTTCCCCTCTCCTCCAGCCCCAAAGTAAATATTCTTACCTTCTGTTATGGTAGAAGAGTTGGCCCTGAGGACCTGGGGCCAGATTCACATTAGTTTTTCCACTGTGTTTTTAGAGATTACATACTCATGAGCTCTGCAGCAAAGCTACCACTGTAGTTACAATGTAGCTTGTTTTTGTCAGTGATGCAATTGGTTCAGCTAAAAATGGACTTTTGGGATGGCCTTTGCTTTGGATAACTGCTGATGTGTTACTTCCATCACTTAAAGTGTTGACAGCTCCTTAGAACCCTCTTCATGTTTATGTTCCTGTTTCTGGGTGGTCATAACTGGGAGAATTCTTGGCAAAAACACCTCGTATAAGTATCCTTCTGGTGTTCAAATTTGGGAATGTTGTTGTGATGCCTTTAAATGTCTTTAAACTGTTTTTACTTTTGTTCTGTTTTGTTTTGTCATTTAGAGTCTCTTAGGGAGTAATATATAAAAATTCAGCTGAAGATAGCAGAAACTCAAACATACTGAGTTTTTAAAATTTTCACATCAATTCTTCTTTCAAGATGACTGAGCAGAGACTGTACAAGTATTATATAGAGTCTTAATTTGTGTTGTATATGATGTTTTTACAGATAGATTTTAAAATATGTAGTGTTAGGTACAGCTGTTAGCAGCCTTCATGCCTATGTCAAGATTGGGAGTAATGATTTGGAGATAAGGTTGCATCTGTTCAACTCTATTAGGAGAAGGAAGTTTGTTACATTCTTCTTAAGCCAAACAATGATCAGACTTCTATTATTAAGTAGTTTACAGTGCAGGATTTATCACCAGCTACTGAATGTACATAACATGGGTAGAACCTTGTAGGTATATTATAGTGGCATCTGTTTGTGATAATAGTACAAGAAATGAATGAATTCTTCATTCTATAAATGAAAGTTTATGAAACCCTGAGGTTATAACCTAAATTCCTAGTTGGATTGTGGGAAGCAGATAACAGTAGAAGAATGATGTGAATTCTCAGAACAGTTTTTTAGATGTGTCTCAAACTGCCTAGAAGGCCACATCTTGTTTGGTTTCCCATCAGATCTGTTTAGTTATATGATACATTTGGATGTATTTTTGAGGTTCAACTGTCTTTTGGTCACTTCTCTTCCCATATGGCACAAGTACTATGGCTTTGAGAAATTATGAAACTCTGAAACACTTCAGACCTAATGCTGCTCCCATTTTACAAGCTAAAGGGGCACTCTGAGGTCTTTGCCCCCTGAACTGGGAGAAAGGTTGGGAAGTGTGCCTTGTAACAGGACTGTTGGGCTGGTGGGGGCAAGGAATAGATATGTTCAGCTGTATCATTGAGTTGACTCCAAAGTGAGAGAGAAGAGTCACTTTTGCAGTCTCTGAAGATATGGGGGATTTTGTAAACACATTAGCATCCCCTTCACCAAAACACAGATTGAAAAATCCATTGTACTAGGAGAGCAGTCCAAGGATAAGTCTATTGATAATGAGCTTTAGAAGGTCTGTTCTGACTGATGAGTTTGAAGAATCCAGTCCCTTTGCAGAGTCTCACTGTTCCAGTGTTTAGTTGGGCTGCTCTGTTCCTGTGTACATTCAGTGGGCAATACACAGCTCCTGGTTTGGCAGCAAAGGTGTAAATCCTCCCGAGTCAGGGACAAGAAAAAGTAGCAAAAAGTCCAACACCACCAGCCACCTGCTCCAGCTCTGTCAAGAGAGTGCTTGTAGTCTCAAATGTTAAGTGTTTGGACAAAGTGAGCTAAAAGAAGAACTGTTTGAATCTTCTGACGGCACTCATGAAGTCCCTGGGAGTCATCTTTCATTTCCTTCAGTTGGAAACAAGTCTCTGTGATGATGA